ATTGGATGGTACAGATTTTTAATCAGATGTGCTAGCTTTTTAGCTCCGCTGTCGACTTTGTCGAGCGGAGCTTATCATATGAGTGATTGTCCGGTGTCCGTCGTCCGTGTCAATGTTTTACTTTTTCGACTTCTTCTTGAAAACTACAAGCCTGAATGCTTTGATACTTGGTGTATATGTACCTTGGGTAGACCTCTTTCAGATTTGTTCATTTTGTAATGATATATTTAATTCTCTAATTTTGGTGAATATTTTTGTCATTTTTGGTAAAAAGTGATATTTTCGACTTCTTGTTAAAAACCTAAAGTCCAATTGCTTTGATGTTACATATATAGGTACTACATGTGGTTCTAACTCAGATTTGTTTATTTCATGATGATATCTTTAATTCTCTAATTTTGATGAATATTTTTGTAATTTTTGGTAAAAAGTGATATTTTCGACTTCTTGTTAAAAACAATGAATGAAATGAAATGAAAACATCTTGGCTATCAGTAAAACCATCAATTTTTGTCTTCTGTGCATCGTGCTTCTCTGTAACCCAGAAGAGATAACGCTACACGCTGAATACTTCTTTCCATTAAAATAATTTGTACGAAACGCTATAAATAGTAATTTGTTTTTTTATGATTGATGATCGAGAAACTGCAAGAAAAGTGAACAGTCTTCAGGTGCAAAGGTTAACTAGATATAGTTTAAAGGTCAAATTATTCTGATTGGATAACGTTCTTGCCTGTCATTCTGCTCATTAACATAAAAACTAGTATGAAAACACACTAGTTCTTGCTTTCACCACAGAGGGTGTGGCAATTGCGTCTAGTCTGGATGGTTTTGCAGTTACAGGGGATTTCGTGTTAACACCTCCATTTCGCGATATTTGTATTTAATTTAAACTTTAAAAAGAAATAAATCGTCCAGACTCTGCCAGTCTAAAGCTGGGATGACTGGCTTTATTTTCTCTTAAGCTCTAATAAGAACCAGGGGCTTTGAAATCTATAATTGGGTTCTTTGTCAGCTGATCTTAAATAAGTTAAGTCACAATTAGTGTTTGCTTTGTCTAAATCATAAATGACGCGAAAGATATACTTAGGGTAAATGTCTGTTGTTGTCTTTGGTATAAACGTTTTTCTTGTGTATAACCTTATGATAGGTTTCACCTGATATTTTATAAACCAGTTAGTGATCTTGACCAAGTTCAATTTTGGCATGAGTTGTTTGTATATTTTTCAAGATATTGGTAAAATTTCTCTTGTAATTACAATAATTCAAACACTCATCAAGTTCAATTTTGGTGTGACTAGCATGTATATTTTTCAAAACATGGCCTAAATAACTAATCATGTTGATCTTGAAAACCAGATATTAATAATATTCTCTCTGACTTGTACGTTGTTTCAAAATACAGACTCTGAAGTGCGAGGACCACATAAGTGTGAACGTGGTAGAAACCACCGCAGTGTGTTCTTTTGGGTCAATTTTTATATTTAACCAATTAGAGGCTTTCCCGCTAATAATTATTGATGTGCATTAAGGGCACACTTCTGTGTCATTCTTACAATTTGTGTTCTATCGTGTAAGTCTCCGGATTGCCAGCAGGCTTTCTGTTAGCAAATAAATTTATTATAAGGTGTTCTACTGTGGTGATTGGTGCTGATTGTGTAGCAGATAATTTTGCATACTAATTGTTCGTTATTTTCCATATTTGCAACATATCGTCCCCCACATGTTCATACATAAATTGAAGCCATTATTTTCTGCATAAAATTTTGTTTAGATATACATGTAGTATTATATTGTTTCAGAATTTTTATAGTTTTTTATAGCCCTGCAATGAAAAGATTGTACCCCGCAGCAAATGCATTGTTAGTTTGTGTCTATCCTGATTTCTTATTTGTTATTTTAATATATATCGTACTTCCCCGATCATAAACCCAGGGACCTCAACATGTAAAATTGTGGAAAGTAAGAAGAAGAAAAAAGTTGTCATTGATTTCCATGACACTTTTACAATGAAAAACATGTTCATAAAAATACAGAATTTTATTACAATAAAATTTACATACCATCTGAATTTACGATGTAAAAAGAGGTAGAGTTTGTGGGAAAATGATCAAAGGCAAGATCTTTATCATTATCTTCGTTGTGGAATGTTTTTAATTGTACACACTCTCCATGCAAAACAATTTCCACCATGATGTTTTTCAGCATGATTTAACCTGAAATAACTTTCTTTGACCTAACAGGTCAAGTCTTTCATTAACCAACCAATAATTACCAATAATTGACGATGTAATTCTTTAACACAATGCGAAGTGAATTCCGCGATGTTAAAATGCGATCTGTTACTGTGGAATACTTTATTTTCGCTTGGAATTAATTTTCGCTATTTTCGCTGAAGAAATGATTCAATGAAAATAAAATCCAGCGAATATACCTTTTTTCCTATCTTTTACATTCAACTCGCCAAAAATCAGTGAAAATAAATTCCATATAACACACCTAAAAAGTCTATTCAGCGAAAATAAATTCCAGTGAAAATAAAGTATTTTACAGTAGTTGATGAACAATTTTTTTTTTCCTAAAAACTGGTGATTTGCAATTTTCAAATGGTAAACTGAGTGTGGAGGAAGTATTTAAACACCTTTCACAGTCATCAGCAGGACACGTCAAAGGATAGTTTGCTCGTTATTCTCAATGGACACAATTATTTGGAAAAGTAAAACAATATCCAATGACCAGGTTTCACGAACCAAATTATCGTACTAATCACAATTTTTATGCAATGAAACACACTTTTTACACAAATATTTTAATAAATGTCATCGACGCCTGGTAAAAAACACCCTGGGATTTTAATCCGGGATGCTCTCAACTCATTAAATGTCAACAAATAGAGGGCTGGGCTTATACTCGGGGAGGGGCTTATGATCGGGAAAGTATGGTAAATTTTTCATAGGCAAGGTTGTAGTAGTTACACTATGTTTACTTACATTCTGCCTTCGACTTTTTATTTTAATTAATAAAGATTCAGTTTTGTTTCAAGTGACTTGTGTATTTCAGTTTTAAATGCTTGCTAATACCCACTGGGCACTTAGAACGATGGAGATAATGGTTTGGTACACTCAGCAAATGGATATCATGTTACTTATGACATCACAGTACCATCTGAAACCAAGAATATTGCCATTAAGAAGATAATTATTATACAATCGTCTGTCTCTAAAAATAATGGATTTTATTAAATGTTCTTTTTAAGTAGGGGCCTTGCCCTAATACATTGGAGATTATACGTCTGATATGTTTTTAGATAATTTGAATATTCCAAAAGCAATTATGTGCCTCAATCCTCACAGAATTTTCTGTAATCAGCTCGTCATATCTTCACTCCATTGGTTAGTTTGCCCCTGTAGCAAATTTATCACTTAGAAATGTTCTTTCTTCTCAAAAAAAAAAATATTTCTTGTGTATTTAAATATAAAATTAAAAAGACTGTTTTTCAGATTGTCAAATTTCAGTAAGAAAACTTATTTCCTGGTCGATCACCTCCTACTTAGAGTGAACGCTGTGGTGTACTGTATTTGCTGTTTTTTAGCTCCGCTGTTGACTTTGTTGAGTGGAGCCTATCATATGAGTGATTGTCCATCGGCAAATGTCGTTGGTGTCAACTTTTTAGCTCCACTGTCGACTTTGTCGAGCGGAGCTTATCGTATGAGTGATTGTCCGTCGGCGGCCGTCAGCCGCCGTTGTTCGTGTCAATGTTTTACTTTTTCGACTTCTTGTTAAAAACGGCAAGTCTGATTGCTTTGATATTATACATATAGGTACTACAGGTAGACTTCTCTCAGATTTGTTCATTTCATGATGATATTTTCAATTCTCTAATTTTGATGAATATTTTTCTAATTTTTGGTAAAAAGTGATATTTTCGACTTCTTGTTAAAAACAGCAAGTCTGATTGCTTTGATATTATGCATATAGGTACTACAGGTAGACTTCTCTCAGATTTGTTCATTTGATGATGATATCTTCAATTTTCTAATTTTGATGAATATTTTTGGTAAAAAGTGATATTATCGACTTTTTGTTGTAAACACCAAGTCCAATTGTTTTGATAATATATATATACTGGTACTACATGTGGACCTTCTCTCAAATTTGTTTATTTCGTGATGATATCTTTGATTCTCTAATTGTGATGAATATTTTTGTAATTTTTGGTAAAAAGTGATATTTTTGACTTCTTGCTGAAAACAGCAAGTCCAATTACTTTAATACTATACATATTGTTCATTTTCTAATATATTGTGTTACTACATGTAATTTTGATGAATATTTTTGGTAAAAAGTGATATTATCGACTTTTTGTTGTAAACACCAAGTCCAATTGTTTTGATAATATATATACTGGTACTACATGTGGACCTTCTCTCAAATTTGTTTATTTCGTGATGATATCTTTGATTCTCTAATTGTGATGAATATTTTTGTAATTTTTGGTAAAAAGTGATATTTTTGACTTCTTGCTGAAAACAGCAAGTCCAATTACTTTAATACTATACATATTGTTCATTTTCTAATATATTGTGTTACTACATGTAAAGGCCAGTGTTTGTAGATTCCATTCATATAAAGTCTGAGTATCATAACTCAACCATTCTTTTACAAATTTATGTCAAACTTTGTATAAGAGCATTGTAGGAATCCAGACGTGAACATCAATTTATTTTTTTGATATGATCTGATGCAGAATTCAGATTCTTACAAATCAATGGGAAAAGCTCAAACATTCGAAGTGGAGTGATTCATCTATTCATAGAAATTCAACGTTCATGCATTAAAAAATCCCAAGTATATGGACCCCTCATTAGCAAATGAACCTAGGGGTATTTGAAACGAAAACTGTAAAATCATTGCTGATTGGCTCCTGGGGTAGATTTTGACAAACACACTAAAGGTTATGATCAAATACTTATTTGCTGTTAATTTCTCATTTGCAACAGGTTACTGGTTCTGATTGAATTCTCACACCTTGTGTAACATTCAACGTGACTCAAGTGACATTTGAATTTTAAATCACCTATCAATGGATGTAGATAAATGGACGTGTCCCAACGATAGACATCTTGCACTCCGTGCTAAGTAAGTAACAAACCTTGAACTGGCCGTTGTAAATTTGTACACTATCTGTGACCTTTGTTGGAACTGCACTATAGGCATATAACTGGAATTTGTACCTGTATAAAATATGGCTGTGAGATCTGGTGGAATTAAGAAGTGGACATGCCCAGATGACAGACAACTGGCCCTCAGGGCAAAGTAAGTAACAGGGCCCTGCAATGTGTATTTTATATAGTTGGATTAATTGCATGATAATTATTGACGCTCAATAAATGATGCTATTGGTCAGCGTAACTATTGGATAAAATGTGTACATTGTGCTGTTTTGTTTTTAAGAAAATCGTTTCTGAAATCTAAAAATTAATGTAAATTATTTCAATTTGATTCAAAAGAGCCATGTTCAGAATATGTGAAATCACTGTGCCATACATGTACATCAGCTTATCAGTGATTCAGTCTATTCGCACATTTTGTAAATACGGTGTATGTCGTTAGATGTCCTAGTTATGTGACCTTGTTTGTAATCATGCATGCTGTAACTTTACATGTTAATGCATGACCCTTTGACCTTATATTTGTCTCATTAGTATGCATTTTAATTTATTAATGCATTACATCAGAAATCTTTATATAAACATTTTGTATTTTAATAAATATTTAAGACATGGCTGAATATTGTCAAAATCTATTGTTAAGTCACAGTTTTGGGATCCAAGCGAAAACTGTAACTTATCAAGGTGCACAACTTAACAAGGACAGACAGACAGACGGACAGACAGACAGACATACTGGATAACTTTCGTTTAAGACATGCTATCAGTTGGAAACTAGAGATCAGAGTGATGGATTGTTCACATTGCAGTGAGTTTTATGAGGTTTTATCAAAGCAGTACCGACTGAGAACCGTGTTGAAATCTTGAGTCAAGCCATCAGTGCCTTTCACAGCCCAGCAATTAACAGGACATAGGGTGTTAAGTGCCGTTGCCATCATCACGATTGTCTCACACTAACTCTGCAATGGATGAATAATACATGAGGCAAAGAATCACTAAAAAGTAAAATGTTTTGGGAGCCATGGAATTATCTACATCATAGCTAATATCGCGACCTGCAGAGGCGCAATTTAGCGAAGGGTCACTGTACTGTATATATATTAATTTAAATAAACATATCTCAAAAAAATATTTTCTCAAGAACACAATATTAGAAATTACTTGCATTGTAAATATTCACTGTAGAATAATTTAAATGCTGACTGGATTAAGGCTCATTTTATAAATGGTGGATTACCAAATTACTAGTTATGAATTATTAAATTATGATTTATTAAAACTTATACTTCATCATTTGGTGGAAATGATAACATTTTTTATAAATAAAACAATTGTATGATGGAAGCAACATGCCATTGTTTATAATAGCACTATCCCCCTCTCACTACTCACTCGACCAATCTAATAAACTAAAGTATTTTTAGAATCAGAACTATTACTTTTATACTATGTCCAATCATATCAATATTTCAACTTTTGGGCCAAATTCTTGAAACGGTTCGTTTAAAATAGGATATTGCCTTCAGCAACCTTAGATTAGACATGCAGCAAGGTTACCTTGGGGCATCCACAGATCATTAGCATAGCAGAAAAATGAACTCAATCAGTTAATTGGGTATTTATTGTTATTTGATTTGCATACATTGTATGACATTTGGCACACTGTGTATGTGATAGGGCTTCGTCCATATTTTATTTCATGCATACATCCTCAGCAGTTAGTTTGATAAGAAGATCAGAATTGCTGTAAAACCTTCCCACATGCATGAGGAATTTGATGTAAAACCTGCATTACAACATTAAGTGAATCCAAGCCCACACAAATCCTGAAAGGGCAGTTTGATTGCTTTCTTCTCTTCTATCGATTCAACTAGACAGTCACTTGTCATTCAAGCTACCCCCTCCACCAATGTGTAATGTCCATTTCCAAAATAAATGCTGTTTAACGATCATTTTAATAGGAAGTCTGTTTCAATTATGTATATTCCGGAATATTATATGATATCGCCCACTATGACTAGATTGTAGATGTAGTTCATACTAATGATGAATCATGTTATCACCCACTATCATTTGTCTCATTTCTCGCATGATCACACCGACTGCCAAAATGACTTACAAAATACAGGTGTTTTGTAATTTTCTGGAATTGTGCATACAATACATATGCTAATACATGAACATTCATGTGTTTATTTCACCTAATCTTTCATAAACCTATGCACGTTTTTTTGTCTTTGCATGAAGTATTTCATCTGTCAGTCAATTGTCAATTTGTTTGTACAGCGTCTCATGTCTTATTCTGCACACTGCTTTTTACTAATTTTATTAAGTTAAGGTTAAAAAATCAATACCAACAAAGTCTTCTTCTTTTTTTTTCGAAACTAAAAAGATTTATCTTGATAATGGTAATTTAAATCTTTATCACAGGTTGGGAACTGGTTGGTCCTTCCACACAAATGAAGCGAGTCGATATCGTAAAAATGAAGGATTATCACGGGAAGAGCAGGACTCTATTCAGAGAGTTCTGGAAAGAGCGGATAGGCTGGAAAAAATGGAGGAAGAGCGGATTGGGTATGTTCATATTTTTTTTTATCTTGCCACAACATTTATTTAATATGCCACCAAACATACAGGTCAGAGCTCGAAATCAACGACATTTCATGATGGGTAAGAATTGGCAATCCCGTGGTAGTATTAGGTAATCCCTCAGGTTTTGTACAAACTTATAGCACAATCCAATCGAGCTTAAATCTTAAACTAATCTAAACTTAGCTTGCTTTCAAAATTGCCCCATATCAAAATTGAGCATAACTTAACATTTAGGTAGCTTAAGATAGACGCCTACTCATAAATGCAAATACTCAGAATTTATTCATTTGCAATAAATTTTACTCCCGGCCAATATAAGGATGTTGACTTAAAAAAGTTTGGGATCACCAGGCAAATTTTTGAGATAATAATGGTTGTATTTTAGTGGTTAGTAGCCATTTTGTCTGTATAACGCTTATACCATAGGTTCCTATGGCAGAGATTTTAAGCCATATCTCAAATTGTAGACTGGAGTATTAAACAAATTATATATTATGAATGAATTATATTGTACTTTTTGTTGTCCTGAATTATTAAGTTTTAAAAAGTGTCAAAAATGCAATTTTTCATTGGATTCTATTGAATTTAAAAAATAGTGATTTTAGGAAAAGCTACCCAAAATACATCACTGTAACACAAAAAGAATGCAATTCCTAGGTACCAAGGGACATTAGCTCCATGATTTTACACAATAAATCAATGAACATTGTCGTCATAAGATTTTATGACCAACTTTCTCAAAAAGTATGAGTAGGGTTCTACCTTAATGCTATCTTAGCTTGCTTTCAAAATTGACACATATCTAAACTGTGGAGGGTAGTCTGCCTAAAAAAAAATGTCTCATGTTACCGTAGTAACATTGCTAAAATACAATATGCATGCATAATGTTGAAATTATTGATGACAAAAAATTGTAAGGTTTTATGAAAATGTAAAACTAGCTGACAGTCAACTTGGAAGTTACAGTAGGTTACGCCTGAACTAAGTAAATATCACATTGTTTAATTTGTGTAAAGACACCCATAACTTTGAACACATACTGGTTATTGTAAAAACAATAGGAGGTAGTCTAGTTGGGATACTACATTGGACTTTGAAAATATGGTCACCCTAGGACAAGTATTGGTTTATTGTGCCCCTTAGGCTACTGCTAATTTTGAGCCCTGCAGTTGTCAATCAGATGAATTTGTTACTGTTTCAATAAATGTTAATGAGATAAGAAGTGTTTTCACTTAGTGACACTGAAGTGTCCTCCAAAGGGTTATCTATTCTTGTCATGACCACAGACTAGACATAACAATGTTGTTGCTTCACTTGTTACTGTAAAATCTATATTACAAACCACAGCTTCTATTAAAATGGTTCAATGCAACAAAGAGGATGCGGCTTCTATTAGAGCATCTACACATATGAGAAATGGTGAATTTTTGGTTCTCAATTATTCAAAATGAATGTGTGAGGCTTTTATTTGGGATGCAGATTTAAAAAGAAAGTGGATTATTCTAGTAATTATGTTGATCAATTGGTAAACAATTTTCGTTTGGTATTGATTTGCTAATTTTCATTTACAGCTGGGCATACATGTTGTTGTCTCTCATTGACTTTGACTTAATATGATTACATATTTAATTGAGATCTATAGACAATCACACAGAGTAGTCTTTCATCAGAATCATGTCAGTTTATAGTGGAAATAATTTATATAGATCAGATAAAAAACATAAATTGTGTCAACTCATAGTACAAGTACATGTATGTTTCTTGGTTAGTACATAACTATAATTATTATTTCTCAACTGGGTTTTGCGAGAAACTTACCACTCACTATGTATGTATAGCAATGTCTTGACAGCCACTTTTGACAAGCACTATAAGCCATACCTGTCAAATCAACTACATGACGATGGCAACCAATCTGCAAGGTGCTTTTACATTTGACCTTTAAATATCTTGAAATTAGTAACACCGATTTAACTTGATAATATATAACCTTTGACGATAAGATCAAATTTCCTGAAAATTAAACAGTCAAAGGAATAAATGTGTAAATGAGGGTACGAGAATATGATTATCATAATTTATTTTTTGTAATTGCTTTTTTCTGGCTCAAATTTCTTAACTATAACGCATCAAATTTCAAAATTTATTTTACACTTTGTGGTCGTTCTCATCGATTACATTGATTGGCATATTAATCTTTACACAAGAAGACATATTAATTTCATAAAAGCGGCACTCTCAATGGTATCGTGGCGTAGGAGATTTTATTTTATTATGAGAAAAGGTGAAATCTTTAAATGTGATTTACAACAAAAGCAGGTACTGTCAGTATGTTGAGAGAATATTCAGATTTATCATATTTCAATCAGTTATCACAATACATGTAATAATTTGTTTCGTCATTTAAAGCAAGTGTTTTTGGCATTTTGGGAGGTGATTCGTTATTGATGCCACATGGGGTTTAATATGTAAATTTATTACATGGCTTTATGTAACTGCTACTGTATGATACATTTGATAAAAGTGCTATAAACTATATGAAATACTATGAATAGTTTACGGCATTATAACTAATACCTGAGGCAATGTATTATGCTTTTATCTGTTGCATGGGACCCACATCAACACAACACATTGCGATGACCACTGCCCCTTCAGTAGGACATATAGATGGAAATATACGTGTAATAATTATAATTAATTTTTATTTGAATCATATTCTTATTGAAATCTTAAAAATTTAGAAAAAATAATATCATCAATAAATGAGAAGAAAATATGTAAATGGAGCCACCTGGTTGATTTACTTATAATTACTGAGGAAACATACATGTAGTCGGGTGATGTCTCTGGTTTACTAAAATCAATTTAATGCTCCCTATTACATAGTGTAATACGATTGTAATAGATTTAAAATATGGATTTGGCAGAAGTACAATTTTAATAATATTCGCATTATAGTGATAATTTCAGCTTCACTGGAATGGCTCTGTGTATGTAATACATGCACCTACAACACATTGCCACTAAATACAATATATTACTAACAGGGATGCAGTATTTTCAATCTAATAAAATAAAATTTATTACTGAAGGACATATGCATGTACATGTATTGATTGACTGTCTTTTACAGTATCTTTTATGCGACACATTAATCCTAGGGATTCACACTGTTATCTGTGCACAGAATTACTGATTGTATTCATTTAATATTACTGTCAATTACTATTATTATTCTCATTTGCATGTCATTCTGCTGTAGTAGTTAATTCGTTTGTCTATTCGTATGAAGGCTTCTTCTGAATAACTCTTGACCATTGAGAATCATTTAATTTAAGCCAATGAGCGTTTACTCTCGGTAGATATTTTTCATCAATCATCTTACTCATTATTGTATTTTTTTCTCCCCGCGCAATTTACTCATTTGTATTTGGCGCCTACACGTTTTCTATCATGTTCGCAAAGCACCTATATAAAGTGCTAGTTTCATAAATTCAAGGCTCTTTTATCATGTGTAAGCTATCATTATTTCAGTTTAATAGATAAACATAAACCATACTATGTTTTTGCATCCACATTTTGACTGTTGTAATATCGAAAATAATACTCTCTGCTGTCTACTCTAGATATATACACTGAATAGACTAGTATTGCTGTCTACTCTAGATATATACACTGATTAGACTGATATTGCTGTCTACTCTAGATATATACACTGATTAGACTGGTATTGCTGTCTACTCTAGATATACACATTGATTAGACTAGTATTGCTGTCTACTCTAGATATACACACCGATTAGACTGGTATTGCTGTCTACTCTAGATATATATACCGATTAGACTGGTATTGCTGTCTACTCTGGATATATACACTGATTAGACTGGTATTGCTGTCTACTTTAGATATATACACTGATTAGACTGGTATTGCTGTCTACTTTAGATATATATACCGATTAGACATGTATTGCTGTCTACTCTAGATATACACACTGATTAGACTGGTATTGCTGTCTACTTTAGATATATACACTGATTAGAATGATATTGCTGTCTACTCTAGATATATACACTGATTAGATAGGTATTGCTGTCTACTCTAGATATACATATTGATTAGACTAGTATTGCTGTCTACTTTAGATAAACACTGATTAGATAGGTATTGCTGTCTACTCTAGATATATACACTGATTAGACGGGTATTGCTGTCTACTCTAGATATACACACTGATTAGACTGATATTGCTGTCTACTCTAGATATATACACTGATAAGACTGATATTGCTGTCTACTCTAGATATATACACTGATTAGACTGATATTGCTGTCTACTCTAGATATATACACAGATTAGATAGGTATTGCTGTCTACTCTAGATATATACACTGATTAGACTGGTATTGCAGTCTACTCTAGATATACACACTGATTAGACTGGTATTGCTGTCTACTTTAGATATATACACTGATTAGATAGGTATTGCTGTCTACTCTAGATATATACACTGATTAGACGGGTATTGCTGTCTACTCTAGATATACACACTGATTAGACTGATATTGCTGTCTACTCTAGATATATACACTGATTAGACTGATATTGCTGTCTACTCTAGATATATACACTGATTAGACTGATATTGCTGTCTACTCTAGATATATACCCTGATTAGACTGATATTGCTGTCTACTTTAGACAGAGTTATTTCTAAGATTTGTTTGATTGATGTGTTGATGTGGTATTAAACAACAGGAAATCAGTCATTCATCTACATATTTGAACTTTTAAATAAATATTCAACGTATGATCTCATCAAACTCATAAATACTATGTGAACAATAGTAATCGTTTTGCCATTTAGTAATATGACAATATCAATGAAAATTCTAAAAAAAAAATCCCTTCATTTTATTGAAACATTAGCGATTTAAAACTGATCAGTTTATTATCTTGCTAAATGTATTTATGTT